CGAATCAGTGCGGAAACGATCCGGCTAGTACGGAACCGCTTCAGGAGATAGACACCATTCGGGTCTTCTTCATCCTGTTTCTCCCTTGCGTACCGGAGGATTTCCTCATCAGTCACTTCCTTGCTGACTCTGGTATCAGGATCGACCTGCGACAACATCATATCGATTCCCATGACTGAATGATTCTTGCATCTGAAACATTGGAACCGTGAGCCATCTTGACAATCCGGGCCATGACTTGTAGATGGTTCTGACCAAGACATAGGCCATGTAGGAAAATGCGGCTTGCATCAATGCAATATCCAGTACCTTTGTTGCTGTGGTAGTACGGTGGTTGCATTGCCGTGCGAGCGATCTGGAGTTCAGGATCGATGTTCAGCGAGTGTCGAGGAATGAAAACAGGTCGACGTTCCTCAGCCACATTGTCCGGGATGTCGTCGTCAAATCCAGGCTCTTCCTCGACTTCGTCCGTCATCTCTGCGTCCGGTTCCTGCTCGGTTTCAGAGATCTGAACATCGTCGTCGGCTTCGGGCAACTCCATCTCTGGCTCCGCAACCGTTTCCGTTTCCATTGCTTCCTGCTCTTCCTCGGTTGTGGCGGGAACAGCCGCTACTGCAGCTTCCATCGTTTGGGCGATGGATTCACTAGGGATCTCCGAAGGAGGCTCCCTTTGTGGTGTTCCTTGGTAACGACCGCAGGATATGAACAGTGACCAACATGATGTACATCTGGTGAAGCATGCGGGAACGATGTTGTAGCAGGCAGGACAAACTCTCATCCTCCTTCCATCTGATTCCCGTCGAAGGTCCTCAGATAGCCAATGCTTGATGAGGAACATAATGCCTTCACGCATGTGGTGGCGACGTCTGGTGTCTTCATGATGCATGTCAAGGGTCCCGGCGAGGGAGCGCAAAAGTTGCTCCTTTGCTGAATTGTGAGGACCAGATGGCATTTCACAAAGCAATTCCATGATTCTTCCCGGCGTCCTGTACCGATCGAATTCCGGTAACAGTGGAGAAGCCGTGAATTCCATCACCAATTCGTCTTCCAGTCTTTCATCGAAGATCTTTTCCACCAAGGCGAAAGAGTGGCTGTCCCTTTGGTCGGGGACACAAAACCAAACTCCTTTGACAAAAGAGAAGGGCACTGGTCTTCCAATGGTGATCACTCCGCTGTCTGTGAGCGGCATGCGTTCGCTGCCATGTCCATGTACTCGTGTCTTCGTGGTAGCATTCCTTTTGTCGAACGGTGCAAAGATTCCGAAGTAGCTGTGGAGGCGTCCATGCTCCCATGAGTGATGACGCTGGTCGGAATCCCCGAAGGGGCCTTCCGAACCAGGTATGATGCCACTCTGTACAATGGAATACATGTTTCGACAAGCAGTCGCATGAAATGCTCCTCCCAGACGGCCCAATAGACTCATCGAAGGAGAGATCGCGAACTTTTCTTTGTCCAACTGGAGCAAGTTGTTGTCTGGATTGGAATGCGCTGAATGACCACTCGTAGCACGCACAGCCCAGGGTTTCACCCAGCCGTCGCACTGTTTGAGATAGCGTTGTTGATTTCGAATGTGTTCGTTCATCTGGATCTCGTGGATCTGGTCGCGCACCGAGACAAGGCCCCTTGAGTTGGCAATGCCGAGAGGAGTAGGTCCGGCAGGCGGTTCTTTCACCCTCACTCCAAGGAATTGAAGACTGATCTTTGCCTTGTGTCTGTCTCTTAGTAGCGCTCGCCATGTTCCCTTGGAAGAGCAATTGCAACCTTTCATTGTGCACTCGCTTCCTCTGCTCAGGGTCAGTTGGCGACGCAGACGCGGAAATAGCAAGACTTGGATGAGTCCACAATTGTTCCATTCTCACCAGATCTTCGATCAGCACCCATCCTCCTTCATCACATTTGATGACGTCCTGGAAGGTAACACGACCTTTGCCGTCCAGCCATTCTGATCCCGCTTTCCTCGCAATTCGATGTCGGAGATCTGACTAAAGTCTGGTAGCGAAGATTGCGCATTACAACGTCCTGGACGATGTCCCAGCGACTGTTGATGAACTTGGCTCCTTTCACTGGAATCAATTCAAGGATGCCACACCGGATCGGATGCCGACCTCCGATGCATTCATAGCCAGGGTTCTCGTACCGGCCTGTGTCAGCATCGAATGCGTAGATCGGTTGATCTCCTCGTTGAGGTAGACGACGATCCCGATGATCAGACATTTCCTCTATCAAGTCAACGACTCTTTGGCTATTTTCGGGGCCCATGTCCTTCAGCTCGACTCCGCATGCCCAATACAAGCCACGCCTGTTGTGAACATCTGCGCAGCAATTGTGCGGATTGTCATACCTGATCAATATGAAGTCGCTTCGAACGGCTTCCCCTCCACGACGTGGTCGGGCTTTAGCCTTCGGCCTTCGCTCTGAAGATGCTGCACTCGCATTCTCCGTTGCATCAACGTCCATGCTGTCATTCTGGGTAGTAGACGCTGAGGCAGATTGAGCGCGTGCTGGATGACGATCTAGTCTGGGATAGGGAACGAGGTCGGTCTTGATGGCTTCGAGGCCTGGTGCGACAGTCTCTCGCGCGGCGACATCATTGTCACATTGCGCAAAGGTATGGGAGCTACTGCCGCAGGCTATGCAAAACATGAGCCTTCGGCGTTCGAACTCCATCACGTCAGTTTGAAGTATATTCAGACTGTCAAGCAAGTGTGTGACCGCCCTTTCGCGTCCTTCCTGTAGAGGGTCATGAGCAACATCTCCTTGCTCTTCTTCAGGTTGGCCGTCAACTTCCATCTCCTGACTTGGCATCGGAGGTGCAACAGATACTCCCTCCGTGCTGTCTGGGTCTACCGTTTCTCGCGCATTCTCGGCAGTATCTTGGCAGACTAAAGACACACTCAGGGATTATACTGATGCGATTTCTCGGCACTGATGTGTAACATTTATGAAACACATTGCCACACCTTGGGTGGTGTGTCTTCTCGCCGACTAGTGCATGCCTGTCCACAACAGGCTTTGGGGGTTGCAGGTGGTCGGGCTGGTTCGAGGTGTGTTGTGGGTGACATTTCTCTAGGAATGCAGCTGGCTCAAGAGGTGGAGATGCAGGTGACATGCTACGTCAGCGTCAGTGGTTCTTATATTTCGACGAACGTTGGAAGAAGACCGGCCGACAGCCATGCATTTCTAGCCATAGGTGAAAACTATTTAACCAGTGCATATAGCTTGTATACATAGCTTGTAAGAAAAATAGACCCTAAAGGTCTCGGGCTCATATATATATATATATGTGTGTATGTATATATATATATATATATGTGTGTATGTATATGTATTTGTATATGTATATGTATATGCATATGCATATGCATATGCATATGTATATGTACATGTACATGTACATGTACATGTACATGTATATGTATATGTATATGTATATGTATATGCATATGCATATGCATATGCATATGTATATGTATATGTGTATGTGCATGTATATGTATATGTATATGTATATGTATGTGTATATGTATATGTATATGTATATGCATATGCATATGTATATGTATATGTATATGTATATGTATATGTATATGTATATGTATATGTATATGTATATGTATATGTATATGTATATGCATATGTATATGTATATGTATATGTATATGTATATGTATATGCATATGCATATGCATATGTCTATGTCTATGTCTATGTATATGTATATGTATATGTATATGTATATGTATATGTATTTGTATATGTATATGTATATGTATATGTATATGTATATGTATATGTATATGTATATGTATATGTATATGTATATGCATATGCATATGCATATGTCTATGTCTATGTATATGTATATGTATATGTATTTGTGTATGTATATGTATATGTATATGTATATATATATATATATATATATGTATTTATATAACATCTGCACCTATATCTAAATGCATTTCAATATCTGTATCTGTATCTATAGCTTTAGAATTTCTTTGTATCTAGATTTGTATTTATATCTTTGCCTGTATCTATCTCTACGCCTATATCTGAACCTATATCTTTGTGCATATCTATATGTATACCTATATCTATCTATCTACATGGAAAAAATGTCTCAATTTGTTTCTACACGTATATCTGTATTCGTATCTGTATCTATATCATTCTCTGTATTTAGGTTTATATCTATATGTATATCTGTATCTATGTCTATTGCTTTATCTTTGCCTACATCTACATCCGCATCTCGATCTAGATTTAGATCTATATCTGTATCTATATCTACATGTCTGTATTTGTATCAACATCTACACCAAGGTATGTATATCTATAATTGCTTACACATAAATGTGTATATGTACATATAGAGATGTGTATGTATCTTCGAGAGAGAGGGAGATGGACATCTCTGCAAGTATGTAAGTACATGCAGACCTATGTATAACTATGTCTATGTACTTCTCATGTAAATTATTGTCCACCCTACCCGAAACCAAAAGTCACCAACTCTGGGTACCAGTCGTGCCTTCAGGATAGTTCCAGGCGACACCTACACCCGATTTCAACCCAAGACTGAATTTAGGTACAATCACCCCGAAGTCACCAATTCCTCGCAGCCCTTTTGATGAAATTACAGACACCCAGAAGTTAAACGCCGCCACCCAGAAGTCAACCTGACACCACCCAGAAGTAACCCTTCGTCCACTCGTGGCACTAACATGTGGTTGCTTCGTTTGTTGTTGTTTGTCTGTAGTTTGTAGTCCTGGAGTAGATCTTTCATCGTCGCCTTGGATTTTCAACTCAAGGACTTAAGAAGGATGTTGTGGCAATCGTTGACAAGCAATCTTACACTTTATTTCCTTACTTTCGAATAAAAGGATCAGTAGGTGAAAAACTGCTATGACGCCCGAACAGATTCCCAAGCCCTAACCGCAGAGCTTCAATCGGAACCCTGAAACGCTGATCCTTATGAAAACACTGCACCTTCTAAGGAGCCGTTGAACAAGGCTTCATAGACCTGCACTTGTACCAGCAGTGTGATTCCATTCTCCTTCTGGGAGGCTCTGCTAGGGTTTCCAATATCGGGGCTTGAAAAATTAGAGCACGGTTCTTTTCAAGGTTTTCATGAACCGAAGAAAGAAAGGTTGTTTAGGGTTTGTTTTGGTCAATAATGCGGTTGATGATTCAAATCCTGCAGTACCCATAATGAGGAATGTACCATAAACCCCATAGTTTGGGGTCCTCAAGGTAATGCATGATTTATATCATCAACAGTAGTTCGAATGTTGTTTCAATGTTGGTTTCTAGGGTGAGCTGCAAGTGGAGGCTCTGTGGGGGGTGGGGTACTCTAGTGGCCTAAATAACTACGCATGCTATTTTGGGGGTTCCTTATTATAAGTATAGTATATGGGCCCCCGAAACCTATTCTAATTGTTAAGGCTGCCATATTGGTGGGGTTTGGGGCAGTATCCAACCCTCCGCATTTACAGGTTTACGGCTGACACGGTGAAGGGCGTTGCGTAGGTTCAACATGTCAGGTGCAGGGACTGCGTACCTTAAAACATCACACGTCCGGAGCTCTCCCTGGCTCGTCTCCTCCAAAGCTATTTTTTTCATTTTCTGTTGCTGGGTGCTGCCTGGGCAGTTTCGGGTGGCTTGTGTAAGGCCCCCCGTGGTTTTGTGCGCGGACATGCCGGCCCGGCACGAGCCAGAACAGCTGCAGACACTACTTGCTGCCTCTGCCTTGTGTTCGCTAGTCATCGGCCTCGTCGATGGTTCGGTGATCCTGGCTTTATTGCCGATGTTCGTCCGACATCTGGCCATGTTAAGGCAAAGGCCCAGTTGGCGATGCCTAAGCCCGGCAACAACTGGAATGCCCAGATGGCTAAACAAAAGCAACGATGTTTTGATATCTGGTGATCCGCGCCTGCAAGACCCCAATGCCCTAAAACCCCTGCGGTAAACCCTTAGCCCTTTCGTCGTCGGCCCTTCAACGACTCAAGGGTGTTTACGAGCTACCTGCTCGCTTCTCAAGGGTCGGTAGACCTGAACCCGAAAGCTCTCGGTGCCGGCATCCTTGGGCCAGTCTTCCCCGAGCCTATGCGCTCAAGCTTTTGAATGCGGGAATTGGGGTTGAGGGAATGGGAATGGGGCTGAGGGATTATGGCTCAGGCTTTATGATTCCAGTGTATCGGGCTCTTGGTATCAAGGTTTGCGGTTGGGAGATGTGGGGAGGCTTCGGAGCTTCGGGGCTTGGGGTGTCATGTACAAGCCTTAATCATTAGTGACTTTCTTCTTGAGGGCTCCTTAGTACCAGTATAGTATACATGTATTCTACGCTCTCGTAAGAGGCCTTTCCCGAGCCCAAAACAAGCTGATGAAGAAGACTGCCAGGTTGTCTCGGACATGCGCTCCGAACCCCAAAGCCGACGAAACGACATAGCGAAGCTCTGTAGAGCTTGGGTTTCAAGCAGAGGTTGTGTGAGGCTGAACGCCACGAAAGTATTGAACCCCAGACCCTTAACCCCTAAACCCCTAAACCCTAAACCCTAAACCCTAAACCCTAAACCCTAAACCCTAAACCCTAAACCCTAAACCCCTAAACCCCCAAACCCCTAAACCCCAAACCCTATTGCTTCTGAATTGCTCGGTTCTGGAAGAACTCGGGCTGAAAGTTCGGGGCTTCGGGCTAACATAACCTACGAGGGAAGCCAAGATAGTTTCCAAAATTATTGCACAGGGTTTCTGATCATGTTCATACCAGAATACCCACCCAAGGACTTATTTTTAGTTGTTAAGGCCCCTATACTACTACCCGTGCATGTGGCTCGACCCCCGGCTTGCGCAGGTATGGGTGTGGAGCAGTGCGGAAGGCCAAGCCACAGAGAAATCACCTCACACGACTGGCAGCACAAGAGGCCCGGACTTAGGGGTACTTAGAAACATTTTTTAATTTTTGGTTATTATAATCCCTCAGAAACATCTAAAAATAGAATTTTTGCTAGGGTTCTAAGTTCAGTATAGTGGAGCTACTTAACCAGCCTTTTGCTTCACCCTGAGCCCGAGACCCTTTTGTGGCTTCACCAAAGAGGCCATGCTCGGGCCCCTAACTGCCCCAGCTTCCGCCCAGTCCTGACCCCTAGAAGGCATGATGAGCTCGGTGCCCGAATCCTCCCCTCTGAAAGAGCTTGGGAAATTAAGGCGTTCGCAGGCTAACCACTCTCAGCTCAAGTACCTTAACTTCCCCGAACCGAATTTAGTAAAAACCCTAAACCCTAAACCCCTAAACCCTAAACCCTAATTTAGATATGCAGAAAGTATAGGGGCCTTACTTAGGAGGAGGTCAGTTTCCTTCCGACTGCCGTGAGGCCGTTGCCGCCGTCCTTCAAGTGGCTGATTTTCACTGGTCCAGGGGTCTAGTAGAGTTTATAGGTGTAGCGGTTAGGCAGTGATCGATGGGTTAAGAGAGTCGGTTTTGGCGTATTGTTGTGACTGTATGGAGGGTTTTCCGAGTCGTAGTGGGTATCTGTATGCAACATTGCGCACTGACTTTAAGATGTCAGGAATCACGGGCCTTGTTCCGGGTTCAGGGTCCACGTAGCTCACGAGGCTGCGCAGGACTGTTTGGGTTCATCAGATCGAGCGGAGGGCTTAGGGTGAAAGTTCAGGGTGTTGCCCTTTGCAGTTTGCTTGCGCTCCTGTTGAGCTTTCGGCGTTTAACCGGAAGCTCGGCATCTCTAGACCCTGAACCCCCACACCCCAAAGCCTGTCATCGGCTGCCATCCCTATGTCGACTTTTGCGCTTTGGGGATTTCCTCCTAGTGATACTCAACGAAGAGTGGAAGAAGCCTGCAGCTTGGAAACTCTAACTGCCTTTGTCCCCGAGGCGCATGTTGAAACTCCGAAGATCATAAACTTTAATGGCCGTAAGCTCAACTTTTCAACTTGTGGGGTTCTTATAAGGTAGTCGATTCTGATTCTGACAGTTTCATTTTTTCTTCCTTGGGTTTTGGGCCAGTAAGTTCATCATCCTCAAAGCTCTAAACCCTAAATAAACCCCGAACCCTAAGCACCGAAAGCATCCTGGCTTGGAGGCCCAGGGGACTTGGTAAGTCGGTTATAAGTAGGGCTACAATTAGGGTAACTCCATTTAGGGTACTTATAACTCTACTTATAACCTACTTACTAAGTCCCTTGGGGCTCTAAGTGGTTGAGGCACGGAACTCTTCTGATGGCCTCCTGCTGGAGCGAAAGGTACCGGCTGCTGCGGGAGAACAGGGTTGCCGACACGGAACTTCGGTTGCCCTGAATTCTGAAACCTCTAGTGTCGAGGCCTTAATAATTAGAATAGGGTTTGGGGGGTTCCTTCTTATAACTATAGTATCATATCCACCAAAGCCCTATTCTAATCATTAAGGCCCCTAGGCTAACCCCCTTAAAAGGAGCCTCGAGGAGCGGTATTACTATTCTTCAGGCTTCTGCATTGTTAAAAACCCTACAGCGTCTACAGCCCACTGAGCTTAGGGCAGGTTCAAGCCGCGGAAGAAGCTGGTCTGTTTGGGTTGGGCTTGCAAAGGGCGTCTGAGGTAGGGGCCAAAATATCTTGCCTATACTATTCGGGGGGTTCCTGATCATGATCTAGTACCTATACTCCGAAGCCCTATTCCAATCACTAAAGCAGGCCCCTACATTACACGCTGCTACTAGACGGGTTGCTGTGGAGTTGGACAAGAAGGCACCGAAGCTATGAAGCCCAATATCCAAAATCCCAGCCCTAGGTTTAGGGTTCGGGGTTTAGGGCCAAAAAACCTAAACTCAAAGCCCAGAGGCCCTCTAGGGGGTCGAAAGCTGCAATTCCGAGACTAGGCAGTCGTCGCTGCAAGGTGCTCAGAAGGTTAACACCAAAACCGTAAACGCACTGGACCCTAAACTATGACTTCTTTGGCCCTGCTCTGAGGGATTTGCCCCCGCCCTCAGCTTTTTCAATTGATGCCCTTGCACTCTGAACTGCGCCTGATGCCCCAAACCCTCAACCCATGTTTACTTACCTTTGGTTACTAGGGAATGGAAGAATGGTAGTAATAGTAGTTATACTTGTACCCCATTCCTCCATTCCCTACTAACCAAAGGTAAGTTTAGGGAGTGTCGGTGAGAGCTTTTTGGAGGATTGGGACTTCAGGGGCGTGGTGGGCTCTGGAGCTCCGGGGGGGTTTGGGGGTTTGGGGGTTTAGGGCAGTGGGGACTGATTTCTAGGGTTTAGGGGTTTAGGGTTTAGAACCTGGTTCTTAGGGTTTAAGGGGTTCAGGCTTCTGCCAAAAAAAGCTCCCTTTCAGAGCCGCCCAGGAGCGACTGCAGTGCGTCAACGGCGATTGGTACAACAGCCTCTTACTTAGCCAATGGGAGAACTTGAAACCTTCTCGACTTGATACATGTAATCATTCTCTGAATGAGCGAATTTTTTTGGGCCAAGTTATTGAAGAAGAGAGAGGCCTTTGGGGCGATTCAACAGCCGCGATAATTGTCAGTCTCAGGCTCTGAGATCATGATTGCTGCTGCTGCTGTTTATCATTGTTATTCGTGTCCTCATTGTCCCTCGTGCTGTTTCTATCTAGGCTTGCAACTTCTGCTATTGCTATTTGTAACCCTTCTTCATTCTTATGACGACCACCACAAATTTCAGGATACCCAAACCTTAAACCCTACGCCCCAAACCCCAATCCCTGAAGCCCAAACAGAAGGAAAGAGCCGACCCAACTCAAAAAGCACTCAACGCCCTTACTATGAATGTCATTAGCAGCATCATTACTACTATTATTGCTATTGTACTACTACTACTACTACTACTACTACTACTACCACTACCACTACTACTACTACTACTACTACTACTACTACTACTACTACTACTACTACTACTACTACTACTACTACTACTACTACTACTACTTGACAGCACTCTAAACCCAGATTTCGAAGTTACTTAAGTAGTCAGCAAAGGCCTTGGAAAGCCTGGGCTCAATGGTCTGGTCTGCGAAGGATGTGTGCAGGAAGGGAGCGGGGCGGGGGGGGGTTGGGGGTTGAGGGTTTAGGGTATGGGGTTGGGGGTTGAGGGTTTAGGGTATGGGGTTGGGGGTTTAGGTGGGTTGAGGTTGGAGGGTCAAGGGTTCAGGATAAAGGGGGATGAGGGTCAAGGGTTCAGGATTTAAGGGGTTTAGGGCCAAGCTAAGGATTTAGAGTTCGGAGTTTGGGGTGTAGGTTTAAAGGGCTTAGGGTTTGGGGTTTAAGGGTTCAGGGTTAAGGAGTTCAGGGTTTGGGCTTTAAGGGTTCAGGCCATCGGGTTTGGCACGCAGAGTTCCGCTTAGCAGGATCTCCGAAGAAAGGGGGGAGGCGTTCAGGGATACTGCTAACCCCCTAGAGACCGGTGTTCCTTCACAGCATGATCTTCAAGCAGCTCGGTTTAATGAAGCAGGAAGCGCCCTCGGATTCAAAGCTGGGGGCCTTCAGACTTGCTTCTGTTGCAGGGTTTGGGGTTGCGGGTTTAGGGGTTCGAGAGTTGAGTTGAGGGTATTTGGGTCTAGTGTTTCAGGGCGTAGCATGCATTAATCCGTAAGGGCCCCCTTGATTCCTCTGCCACGTCTCTCTTTACCCGAACCTCCACCGTCCACCCTCAACCAAAACCCTGTAGAACCGATAAAGAACCTTGAGCACCGCTCTTGCATCATCCTGAGAAATTCGAGCCTTTCACGGATCTCGGCGTTGAGGGTTCCGGGTTCAGAGTTTGGGCGCACGTGCTTTCCCCAACCCCGAAACATTCAGGGAGCAGCATGATCAGTCTCCAAGCTTAGTGCTGTGGCTAAAGGGGCGACAGGTCGGAGCGAGAGGCTATGCGGCCTACGACGAGCGCAACGAGCAGGTGTGGTGGTGGTTGCAGGGCTTTGTTGGATAATACGACATGATTTGCGGAATCGTGAAAAAGTGACAACACACAAGCGACTGCAACTGCGACTGTGACTGCTACTACTGCTGCTCCTGCTGCTGCGCCTGTGCTGCTGCTTCTCCCTTGTTATTGCTTCTGTTGCAGCTCCTGCTACTGCGACGACCACGGCAACGATGACGGCTGCTGCTGCTGCTGCTCCGACGACGACGATCACTGCCGCCAAGACCAGGACAACGACGAAGAAGAATGCCGCACCAGCACCAGCGCCAGCACCGCAGCAACAGCAGCAGCAGCAGCAGCCGCGCCAGCAGCAGCACCAGCACCAGGAGGGGCTCCACCAACACGCAATACAACCACCTGGATTACTACGATAGTTGCTCAATCGGAACTCTAACACAAGTATTGTTTGTTTCCGTATTGCTCAATTGATACTGCGAAGAGACAATGATTACATATGATTGCTGCTCAGCACTGTTTCCATGTCCCACTACTGCCGCTGCTGTCACGACTGATGTTGCGGCTGCTGCTGCGACTGGTGTTGCCTTTGCCGTTTCTTCTGTCGTTACAGCCAGTGTCAACGTTACTGTGATTGCCAAACATAGGTGCGATTCTGAAGCTTGCTGATACTGTCGCAGTCGCAGCCGCAGCAGCCGCAGCAGCAGCAGCAGCGGTAGGAGTAGCAGTAGTAACAGTAGTAGCAGTAGTAGCACTGGTAGCACTGGAAGCACTAGTAGCACTAGCAGCACCAGCAGCACTGGCAGCACTAGTACCACTAGTAGCACTAGTAGCACTAGTAGCGTTAGTAGTACTAGTAGCACCAGTAAGTAGCACTAGTAGCACTAGTAGTGCTGGCACTAGCGCTAGCACAAGCACCCTCGCACTCGCACTCGCGCTTGCACTCACTCTGGCATTCGCACTCTTACTCGCACTGGCACTCACATTCGCAGTAGCACTCGCACTAGCAATAGCAATAGCGCTAGGGCTAGCACTAGCACTAGCCAGCAGCAGAAGAGCTGTAGCAATGGCAATGGCAGCGGCAGTAGCAGCAGGCTGTAGGTTTTACTGGTTTGCGGAATCTTTACGTCATGACAGGAGCTTTACTTCTTCAACCGAATGGCCCTGAGCATCTACACTGAGCTTGGCATGGTCAAGGATGGGTTTTCCAAGCCTTTTTCGGCCTGAGGGTTTAGGTTTTTCAATTTTTTTTGAGTGGGCTTAGGCCCTAAACCCTAAACCCTAAACCCTAAACCCTAAACCAAAAAAAAAAACAAAAACCCTAAACCCTAAACCGGGAGTTTGGGGCTCTAGTAGTGCAAAGCTGTAGGTTTACGGGATGTGGGCTTGAGGGCTCCCAGCCTGAATTCAGGGATCAGGGCTTGGGGGTGGAGGCTTACACAGCGGTCGGCAGATACTTGTGTGTCTCACATTTATGGTTTTAATTTTTTTGTTCGGTGCATGTAGTTTGTACACTATGAATGCTCTCTGAATCTTCAGAATGCAATAGGTTCTCAGGGTATATGATAGTATGCATATATATATATATATATATATATATGTATGTATGTATATATGCTAAGGATCCCAAGGAACGGTACTTTGAATTATTCATGCCCCTGCTATAGAGGGCTTCTACTGTATCCAGGACGACGGGAATGCGCGAATTAGCTGTCTACTTGGTGGTTGTCGTCCATTTCAGACTTTGCACGAGCACTTGATTGACAGGGTGTAGGGTTTAGGGTTGATGCTGGGGTGAGCTTATGGCTTTAGCCAGGTGTTTGCCGGCAAATTGAAGACCCCGAAGCCTCAAGTCCTGAAGCGAAAAACCATAAACCCTGACCCCAGACATTTTTGTCGAAAAACTATCTTCTGCCTGAACGATTTTCGTGAGTGGAAGCTTTGCCCGAAACCTTGAAATCCTAGTCCGCAAACCCCACACCGTGTTCTGAACCCTCCACCCGGAGCCCCCGAAGCTCAGGGTTCAGGGTATCGGCCCCTCAATGCCATCTTCAGATGCTTTTGCCACCCAGTTTCAGATCTTTGAAGAAGTGCCAGGAGTTGGATGTGGAGGTCAAGCATAAGTACTGCTTGCAGCCGTCCGACGATGGGTGCCTCAGACTAGGATTTCGACTCCATCGTCGTTTCTTGTTTTCTGATGGTGTTCGGGTTTGTGGCTTTAGGACTTTAGGATGTCTGGATTTTTTGGGGGTGGTTTTCGCATGTTGCTTTAGACTGCAGGTTAGGGGTAGAGCCTAAGACTACATGAGGGCCCTTCAGTTTCTCATCTATGCCCAAGCCCTGCCTAAACCGAGCGGTCGGCATTTGAGCTGGGCGCTAGATGGATGAAATGAGGCTTCCCTTTGTTCTTTTCGCGGGAAGGTTGGCAGTTGTCTATTCTAGCAACTTGGAGGGTGAAGGTAGAACATCAGCGAAAGACGATGGTTCCAGGTTGAACCGATTGCATCCCACACGGAAAGCTACTGCGGTTTACTCTGTCTTAAAGGTTCTTCGTCACCATTATGTCGGGTTCAGGCCTCAAGAATTACTGATCGGGCCTGTGGTTTCAATGTTGGAGTTTAGGTGCCTATGTAGGCCCCAAAGTTTAGGGTTTAGCGTCCGAGGGTTTAAAGTTTGGTGTCAGGGCTGCATGACATACTGTTGATGGACAAGATCCTGCATTACCCCTTATAAGGAATATACCATAGATCCCATAGTTTAGAGTCCTTAGGGTCATGCAGAATTTGGTCCATCAGCGGTACCACCCGAAACTGAGGAATATGACGGTGCAGGCAAGCAGCACTTGCCCGGCCAAGTTGCTGTCGCAGGCGCGAAGGTTCTTTCGAGTAGGCCGGATGATAAAGGTTTACGGGGTACCTAGGGGTTGATGTAGGCCAGTTAGGATTCTTCGAGCTTGAGTTTGTAGAAAGCTCTTGCTGCAGATGCAAGGCACGATCCTTGGGGTTGTCTGCATGGCAGACATGCTATGCCGAGCACCACCTCCTCATCCGAATATGTGCTTGACCGTGAAGCCGGGTGTTTGGGGGTTCGCACTGGTCCTTGAAGATATTCACTTCCCTGCTTACTTCATTAACTAACGCATCTACTCCGACATCTCTGTTTCGGAAATGCACTTGGGCCTGAACTGAATGCTGCCATCTCCTCTGATCCAATTTCAAGCTTCAGAACCTAAGCCATATTTACCCTGAGCCCTCAATTCCGGACTTCGCAGAGGAACAGAACCAAAAGACCAAACAGTTCACGCGCCTTGTAGAGTAGAAGCCCTACCAAACACCGACGGGCGCCCTAGACTCCTAAACGCTACATCCAAACCCTTAAACCCTAAACCTTAAGCCCCGAAGTCTATTAGCAAAGCAGGTCACCGGCTGGGCAGGACCTCAGGCGCGGCTTTTTAAGCTGCTGCCCCTCGGTGAGGCGGGCCACGGGCGCTGGCTCTTGAAGAGTGTGCCGAGGGATTAGGGGGTGGGAGTGTTTTTTGGTTTGGGGGCTTTTTGTTTCAGGGTTATGGGTCTAGAGCGTGATGTTCCACTACAGGCGCGTTCGGCGTCGACTAAACAGACTCTGATGTTGTGTCAGGTTTAGGTGTTTAGGGTTCGGGGATTTAGCTGTAGCGTGAATAATTGCATCCTCAGGCTTCCTGATTAAGTTTTTTACGTTAATTATAACCCGTAATTTAAACCAAAACTCTTTCAGAATTCTTAAGTCTTTGCTATCTCGGTTTTCCGTGACTTTAAGGAGCATTGGTTTGTGTACAAAGATCTGTATAGGATTCAGGCAAGAGTTGAACGGGTTGAGTTCACAGAATGAAAGACGTTGCGGAGAGCGAGTTTGATAGACTCACTACACCCCAAACCCTGGCCAAAGCCACTATCTCAGACTTGCTGTAAGTTGTACACTTACACGCATGGACACTTAGGGTTAATATTCAATTTCACGATTCTTGGACTCGTACACACCCCTGAGCCGGAGGTTCCTTATTATGTCTATGGTATAGTGGGCCCAAAACCCTATTCTAATTATTAAGGCCCTATATTACTCCTGGTTGAAGCCTGCAGAGTCGTACAAACCGTGTCCCAAGCTCTCAGGGCACCTTCCACACCGTGACCGGCAAGAGATGCAAGGGCAGTCCCTTCACGTGGCTTGGCTGCCAGGGTCCAAGGGCTTAGAGTTTCATAGTTCGTCAGATTAGGGTTTAGGGTTTAGGGTTGGGGTTTAGGGTTTAGGGTTTAGGGTTTAGGGTTTCGGTTTAGGGGATAGGGTTTATTGCTAGTTCGTCAGCTTAGCATCTCTGTGTCTGTGTTTTTGCTGCATTGCTTGCCGCCCCTTCTGCAGCCCTGAAACTACTTAGCTCTAGACCCCACGCCATTGATACTCGAAGCCTTTCAACCCAAACCCCAAACATAATCCCTCGACTGTGCAAGTCACAGGCCAGTGACGTGATAGGAGACCCTTTTCCATTGGCTGTGTTTGGTGAACCAGCACAACAAAGAACCCTATAGAACCTTAGTAACACTGTTTGGGCCTCCATAAAGCCTTATAGACCCAATGAGCCCGTCTAGCAAACGCAAACAAGCGCCGTTGAACATCTTGTTTCGCTCGTGGATTTCTCGCATAGTATTGGCTGCCCTAACCCGACAATCCTAACTGTCTCACTTAACCCTAAACCCCAAACCTACTACACCCTAAGCCCTAAACCCTAAACCCAAAACCTGCGCCCTAGGCCCCAAACCCTATCTGAGGAGCGACCCGGATGCCAGCTGTGATGGCTTCAAAGGCTTGTCTGTGGAACAGCCCGGGCCAAAGCAGTGTTAAGGGAACTAGAAGCATTGCGAGGGTTTAGTGAGGGTAAGGGGGTGAGGGCCTGGAATCCTCAACCTCGACACTTTGAACCCGCACATCCCACAGGACTTGAGTTCCTAAACCCCGGGCGTTCTTAACCCAAAACCCTAAAGCCTAAACCCCAAACCCTAAACCCAAAACCCTAAAGCCTACACCCCAAAGCCTAAACCCTAAACCTGCCCTCGATGCGGTCTCGAGCTCCTTCACTTTTGGCTTCGGGTTCAGGGCTTGGTGGGCTCAGGTCTAAGACTTGCGGTTTAGAGTTCAGGGACTGGAATGTTTAGGGATCTTCGGATTGAGAGAGTGTGATTTCAAAGGCTGCGCTTGATGGCATATGGGTTGAGGTTTTGGGTCTGGGGGGTTCGTTCTGGGCTTCATCGGCTTTCTCAGACTTCCTCTTGCGCCCTGCAAGCCTCAAAAGCCTTCGGAGCCACAAACCATGAAGGGTTCCTGGCTTAGGGTTTCTGAATTAAGTCGCTGGTCTTGAAGCCCTAATAAGCCCTATCGATCAGGTTTTAGGGTATTTGGGTTTCCCGAGGTGTCAGAAGAAATGTGCTGACAGCGAAAAGGCGCCCAACTGCCCGCAAAAGACCTGCGGCTCGGCTTGTCGGAGGAAGGAATGATGTACTGTCAACCGGGAAAGTCTTGCGTCATCCATGGACTAACGGTCGAGGGTTTAGGATTTAGGATGGTTTACGTAGGGTTGAGGGTTTGCGCTTTAGGGATTACGGTTTTCTTTGGCGTTTCGTCACATGCCTGGAATCCCAGTCCGAACCTTACGAAGTCCCCAAAGCGCAGTATACATGAGCCCAGAACCACCTAGCCCTCCACAGTCCAAATCCCACAACCCCAAATTCCAAACCCTTGAGCCCCAAAGCAAAAGCCCTTGAACCCCAGGTTTAAACCGCCAACCTTCAACTTCAAGATTCGAACCCTCGACCTGTTGTCGGGTGTTATGGAGCCTGAGTGATCAGACATGCTATGTAATGCTAAAAGAAACAGAAAGACCGTATTCCAAGGAACCCTTAAAGGAATCGCCGATATAAGGATATTAAGGCCGCTAAGCCCTGAAGCTTGTAAGCTATTGTCAACCGCTATGACACCCTTTAAGAACCCTGTAAAGCCCTGATAAGGCTCATACAAGTTAGACTCACTATACACCCCGAAGCCATGCGAAAACCCTTCCTGCACATCCCTGATACTAATCACTACATAAAGCAAAACCATGTTCTACTTGGGTAGGCACCCCAAACCCCCAAGTCCAATCCCCCAAACCATAAAGCCCCATAAAACATGAATCCCTAATCCCTAAACCCTAAACC